AAAATGACGCTACCTATCTTAAAATGCTTGGAACACAACGACTATAAACTATGCAAACCTTTTCACAAGTATTGAAATTTAAAATGACTTTTATAAAATCTAAAATGTTTTATACATTTCTATCAATTAAAATTAAATTAACTTTTTTATTAATTAAGTCAATGTGACACTTATGAGTAAAATTTTAACTTCTACTTTAATTATAACGTTTTGATTTAATATTCCTTGTTTGTTAGACGCCATCATAAGTTACTTTAGAGAACAGCTATTAGACAGGTATTTCATATAATGGACGTATATTGTCAAAACTTTAGGGATCTGAGCTATATATAAACCTACATATATAATTAAACTTTTTTGGTATCTAGTTATAGGCCCATTAAGCACCTAACCTGGCAATTCAGAACAAATTATTTTGAATAAAGTAGTAGCTGTATGAAAACTTCATGATTAGTGGAAAAGTTGAAAAAACGAACAACTGTAACCTCATAATCTGATAATATTGTAAAACAAAAGTTTGTATGTCCATTTTCTCACATAGATTTTTATATGTTTGGTACTGTTTCTAACAAAAACTACTGTATCTTTCTTCTTCTAGACCTTTTGTCTTTCCAATAATATATATTCGAAATAACAAGATTTTTAAACTATCAAAAACAATTCTACAGATATCATACTTAAATAAACCTTTTACGGTTTTTAAGCTATCTTCGACTATTAAAAAAAAATTATAACAATGATTTCTGTATCTCACTATATTCTTAAATTTTATATATAGTTAATTTTAACTCTTATTTAAATTTTAGCTGTCCTCGCGATTTATCTGCATGGAGTACCTTTGAGCTATATATTTTTTATTATATCTCTTTGGTTTTGTTTGGGTTATAAGCAGCGTTCGCTTGGTATTAAAACAAACTCTACAATATTTCTTCTCTATATTATTTTATCTACATCTTCCACGTACAGACAGAGATTCCTTACATTTTAATTTTCTGTTAAAATAAAAAAATTAACTTGAAACAAATTACCATATACTAAACACATACAAAATTACGATATTTAAAAGCTAGGTTAGTGACGCGACTCTGAGCTCGCTTTATACATATATATCGGCATGACTTCGGATGATGAAGCATCAATTCTTGATCCTGTCCCATCTACTCTACGAGACGCACGGCTGGTCCAAGAACATAACGAAAACCAACCAAGAGAAAACACATCACCAGGCAGGTGCAGAGCACGCACCGCCTGTCAGAATGGTCGTATCGGCGCTATCAGCTTTAATAACGGATGCGACATGAAAATAATTTGAGGCTGTCATCAATTCTTATTAAACCTCATTAGTATTTATGATTATTGTTAAAAGTAAAACGAAATCAAAGGAGAATAGAACTATGTTTGAATCTTGTTATAAATATGACGTCTGGACGCACGATGGCAGACTCCAGAATTGAGAATTCAGAGATCAGTTAGTGCGTATCATTGAAGTATGTTATTATGAAGAACCTTTGAGAAATACAGGAGCATTAAGAACAATTGAAGTTTCGTTTCAAAATATCATGAACCGTTCTAGAAGAAGTGACATTTGGAACGTCGGCGAGGCTAGCGTCTCTCTCTTTAAAATCAACGAATTTGTAATAAATCCGATATATACAATTCTTAATATTCATGTGATTGATTAAATAGTAAATAGATCATAGGTCAACTTACATCGGTAAGTAAAATTTTGGGAAAATTGTTACTGTAATCATAATTTTATATGGAGTAAAGTTTCAGTCACTGTTAATGAACAGAGAAATATAAAATAATTAATATACATGTGTGGACACTAATAATTAAATTAATTGAATATTCAACGTACTTCTTTAAATTAGAATACCTAACATTTTTATTTATGACCTGATTGACATGAAATATGTACATCTTAACATTCAGTATAGCTATTAACCACAATATATTAGTGAAAACCACAATTCAATCGAATGAGCTGTTTGTGAGATTGACGGGTATGAACGCATACACAAATCAGTAGACAAAAATTCTAACACTGTTTTGCACTTTATTTGTATTGAAAATGTTCTAATGATATATTTTCTTATATATCTTGTACGTATAGAGAACGTTACATTTTTATTATATTATATATAGATAGCAAAAAAAAACAGTTAATTAGTAAATTTTTATAATTCTATACGCAACAACAAGTACTGCATGGGTATGATAAATAAAACGAAAAAAATAATACCAATACCTTATTGTTAATAAAAATCAGACTTTCATATCAATTATTCAATTAAAAACTTCACTTCGCTTTTATTACATATATTAAAATATTAGCGATTTATTTTTCGGGTTTCTTAGCTATCCTAACTTTTATATTTTATATCAGATTACATAGTTGTTCTTAAAGTAAAATACTTACAAGCATTAATGAAGACTACAACAAACCTAATTTAGATGTTTGCTATATATGCAGTAAAGCAATTCATCAACATACGTAAAATACAGAACTGTTTTGTAAGAAGTTCGTTTAGGTAAACTTAAAGTAAACTTGTAACTTTTAAATAGAGAAGTTTGAGATAGGAAAACAAAATATTATGTAGTTATGTCAAAACAAGCCATGAAAGAGCCAACTTTTGGAAGTTGTCTTAATTAACTTTGTTTTTTTTAACGTTGGAATGTAATTATCTATTTCTTAAAAAGGGAATATTAGTTTAGTTAATATTTTTCAGTCTGTAATTCAATTAGTTTATCGTTTGGATCTTTATAATAGATCTTTATAATCATTAATTGGTTCAGTTAAATAGGTATATGCAATATTACAGATGTGGTTGAACTTAAATCAGTATTTTACACTTTTTTAAAAAGTACTTCACATCCACTTAAAATAGACACGAAGTTTTTAACTTCATGATTTATAAAAATTCGGGATCTCATAATACTACAATGTTAATTCAATCATAAAAAAGTAAGCAATTTATCTCCTGAATATTTATGCAGAATTATCATTGTTGACCACGGACGGATTAAAGGAAATTGGCGCGTGTCAAAGGGTGTCAGCATGCCCAAGACTGAAAGAGTTGATGCCCTTGAGGGTAGTCCTACGTTTATAAGAAGATGGCGATAAGCTGATAGCTGATACCTGTGATGATGAACTCGAGATTTATTTATAATCAATTGAATTAATTCAAATATGTTCTAAATTTATAAGCAATTTTTTTAGAATATAAATTAAGAAGCACATAATTTAAAAAAGTACAAATTAGTTATGGGACGAATGCATGTCTGGAGATTGTTTTGATAAGGTTTTGTTATATCAGAGAATTTAAATTGATTCTCTTTGTTTCGCTCCTTTTGTTTTCCAATTTTGATATTTTTATAGAAATTATATACGAATTTTTTTACTGTATTACCCTATATTAGTCTATTGACTATATTATTATTAGCGCTACATATATGAACTTATATCGGTTATTATCAATACAATGTTCTTCATAAAATTTATATAAATAATTAAAAATATACAATAAAATCTAAGGCATACATTATTAGTTCATACCATTATACAGTCTTAAATCACGCTACTTACATCACGATTATCACTATCCTGATACTTGAAGTGAAAATTTATACTACATACTTTTCAAGGAAAATTCTCGAACAGTAAAATACACATGGAGAAAGAGTTTAAAAAGCGTTTTACTTTTCAAAGTATATTAAAATATATTGAAGTATTATTAATAAATATTACACACGCCACCATGATTATACAGATACATATATTTAATGAAGATTCCCCAACGTATGTATGGACAGTAAATGTCGAACATAATGAAATTTCTACTATTCATTTTGACATAATCTATAAAATTTTGTTCGTGTTTACTGTTTGGAGATAGCAAGCTGTTATAAAAATTAAAATAATATAACGTTTATCAGTCTTTACATTCATTCACAAATCATTAAGTAGTTATGGCGTAAAAAGTTAAAAGCATAATCCTTTGTAAAAAGTAACTTATTTTGTTATTTCTATGTTATAAAACTTATAATATTAAATTCAATTAATTTACAACTCATGTTTCGTACAATATTCTTATTTGTAATTTTTGTACGGATCGATAATACGTTAACTTTGAACGTTTTATAACTTTGCTTTCCCATAAAATTTGTCTATTTATGATTATTGACGCGAAATAATAACGATAATTCACAATATCTAGTCGTTCTACGGGGTAATAAAATTGTTATTGCCATGAAGGAAGTTGGAGTGGGGATGGGGTTCGCTATTTTCATTAGAGCATTAAGTCAAGCTCCCGAGAGGCGGCGAACATTAATCTGTTTACGAAATATAAGGGCATGTAGCTAAACTACCTGAAATACAATGTACGCGTTAATATATCTTAAGATTGAAAATAACGAATATTACTGAAATCTTCATACTACCATTACCAAATTGCTTCAAATGTATATTATTAAAGAAGAACTATCTGGCGTAGCAGAAAAATAAGGCGATCTGTAATAACTGGATCTTAATATTATATGGATTTATGTATAAAGACATTTGTCTTCTTAGAGTTTATGATCAGTATTCATGATATACATACATCGAAGATTAAAAACTGTTTTTTACATTTTAATAATTACTTAAGTTTATGATAATATGTATTATAAAAAATTTGGTTACTATTATAGATGACATTAAAAAAGTTTCTTTTCATTTTTTTTCTACATAAGGAATAAAGCATAACTAATCACTATCAATTAATTCATACCTGAAATCATTAAGGCCCTATATATGTTATATAAACCCAAATTTTATCAATATTATAAATCTGATTTGATGAAATAGACATTTGTTGAATGGTTTTTATATGGAGAAATTTATCTACGTTGCTATTATGAAAAGATGTAACTTGCTATAAACAAATTCTTGAACAATTCCATGATAGTTAACAGCGGCAAATTTAACAATAGGTTTAAGCAAAGGATTGTAAGTGCGCATGTACGGCTGCGCCACATCGTACGCCGACTGGCCCGCCGCCACTCCAGTCTGCTCGTACAACCGAAACGCTTTGCGTTCCCGATCAACTGTGCGGAACTACGTTGTATATATTTTTTTGAAGTGAATCCTCATACTGTTGGTGATTTCATTTGTGAAAAGTATCATCAAAAAAGATTTTATATTACTGTGCAGTGTTGTAAAAAGTTTTGGTAACAAAACAAAAAGTTTAAAATTTTATCGCATGTGTTTTAATTTCTTCAGAATTTTAAATAAGTTACAGGATTTATTATTATTTGTCTATTAAAATAATTAAATATAAAATTAACTTAACAAAAAAAAATAATAATAGTATTAGAACTTTCTTGATGTGAGATTTGTTTTTGGAAATATCGAAAAGGTAGTTAAAGTTAACAAATTAGTATGGGTATTAGGTAGTAAAATTAAGAACACTTTGAATTCATAACAATTTTAATACTCATTGATTTATATATAATATAATGGTGGTATTTGTGTCACAATTTTCTAATTGACATTGACATAAAAAGTGAAGTAGTCACAATAATATTTCCGTAATTAATATGAGCGGCTCTTCTCACTAGAAAGGTTAAAAGAGATGAAATAGGATTACTATGTAAATTTTTATAGTACAGATTTTAGGATTTCTAAGAATGTTAAATCCTTCTTAATACAGTGTTATTATATGTTGAAAATAATAGTGTCTAATCATACATAATTTCAAGTTCCGTATTTATATAATGTATGTATGTCTAGTTAGTCGACCTTACTGATAATTTTTTTAACGGCTTTTATATCATATAGTAATTTTTTTATCTTTACGACTTTTTTTAGGATAATTATGCCATAGAAATAATCAATTACTCCAGAGAAATATGTTTTACTTAAATAATATATGTTTTAAATGGAACAAACTTCGCTTTCATGTGTTACTAAAAACTTAAAATGATTTTTAAAATAAACTTTTGTCTTTCTTGATATTAAATTTTTGATTTGTATTATATTTTATTTTTTAATAATTGAAAATATCGAAATATACATTTGCATTACAAATATTTTAGGTTGGCACCAGAATAATAGAAAAAAGCTCATAAATTAATTATTAATTATTATCAAAGAATTTAAAGCATATTCATATACTTACAGTATTATGAGAGTCATAAGGTTGAAAAATATTATACCAAAGGTCTAAAACATCTATTACCTTTAATAATATTTGTTTAAACAGCTTTAATAACAAATGTATTCGTTTCACTCTCCTGTTTCATACCTTGCAAATCAAAAAGAATGCAATAAGCTGGAAGGTCTTATTTGTATAGAATCTCGAAGGGGTTTTGCTACTTTACTTCAACAGTACATCCTTGCACTTAATAGTTTGATTGAATAAAACTTCTTCTATATATAAATATTTATGTTTTGGTACCTTTCCATTACTGACCTGCTTTATGTGCTAATAAAATGCATTGTAAAAACTTCATTTATTTTGCAATTTAGAGCAAACTATTTAGACAAACTTTTGAACTTTAACTACATCGCAAGGTTATTCTGCTCTCCATAGCCAATTAAAACAGAAATCGTCAAATATATATAGTTTTTCATGGCATTTTTAATATGAAAATGTATTAAATGTTATTTATCATGTATTAGTTTTGAGTTTCTTGCTTAAAATAAAATGAGTTCAGATTATAAATTGTTATCGATCACCCTCTTCTCAAACATAGGTATAACGTGAGTCCTATATATTTGCTAGTTTATGCAACATTTTCTAATTAAATGGTTGTAAATATTATATTATATTATCGTTAAAATATTTATCGTGCTTATCTATGTTATATTATTTTATATATATGTATCACCCATTAATTGAGAAGCATATATATTCCAATAGTTTATCTATTTTTAAACTAGTTTTTTTTAATACCAATGATACCAATGCATATTCTCATACTAGTAGCAAGAAGAAAACAGTAAAAACTTTGCGTAAATAGGAACGTTTAACTTTATAACTGAATAGCTGAAGAAGAAACAAAGATAAAAAGAAAGAAAATTAATATTTGAATATTTATACAAAATAAAAAATACGTGGATATGGAAATAGGTAACTTATCTATTTACCTATACCTTAGCCATTTAGCTGTAAAAAAAATGTTGAGGACACAAAAGAATCACGTAATTTGAATTACTTGGTGGAAATTGTTCAATCGTTTTTCTATTCATCTTAGTAACCAAGTTACGGGCTCGAAGGCTTCGCCTACAAGTCGCCTATACAAAGCTTTAAGAGTAGAGGAAAAATTTCAACTCAATATATAATACAATTATCGGTTAATTTTCTTCCTCGCTTTTAAACAAATAATAAGGGAGAGTAAGACGTAAAATATAATTTGATATAATCATTACAACAAATTTGTTCCTTAAAAATAGAAAATAATTTTCGTATAAAGATTGTCATAGAGCAATAAATTGTATTTTGTATATTTACTACAATTAAACAGATGGTTTGATAAAAATGAAAACCTATATCGCATCAATTGACTTAAAATATCTGAATATACGTTAGCAATTATAATATATTTATTCATATCAGTAAAGAATGTTATTGATAAAATAATTAAAAAGCAATAAACCGATTGTAATCGTTATCATCACTTCATTTTTTTTATACCTTTGGGGAAGATGCGTGTTGTCCGCTATCATACAAAAATATTTATGTGAAGATTGGATATGTTATCCGAAGCGGCATTCATTACAAACTCATTATGGATGTTATCAATAAATTGGTCAGTTATTTTTTAGGGCGATAGCCACCCTAATTGATTTTGTGACCACCCTGATGAGAGATAATTTTGTCAATAAGAATTAAATATTAGCCCCATTCATTTATATTCGAAACACAAACAAACCATTTGCTTTTTAATACCAAAAAATCGTTTTGATAAAGAGTAGTTATTTTATACTCGAATAAAAACTTCACAATAGTTTTAAGTATTTTGTTATGACTGAAAAAACTTATAAATTTTAATGACTGAGACGGTAATTTTAAATATGAATTATTGTTATTACTTACAAAGTTAAAGGACCTGACTTATGATTTACTACTACTAGTTATTTCAATTTTTACTTACACTAAAATATTTATTAGGTGTATTTTTTTTACAAGACAGAATAAATAAGACCGATGGAGTGTTGAAAAATAACATACATACATATGTGAGTTCTGTTTGAATTGAGTGAAAGTTATGATAGTGAACAAAATGTGAGAAGTATCCACCATGTGGGTGGCGGAGTTGAGCTGTTTTTTTATATTATTTGGTAAGTACTCTATATTGAGTTATATAAAATACCTATATTTATGCTGATATTTAATAATCATTGTACATATATTATTCGATTTCTTTTGTTCAGTTGCTATACTTTCAAATTTATTTCAATCACTATGATTACATAAAATAATTCCTTAATTTGTTACAATAGGTTGCAATTTTCAATGATTTAGTATTTTACGAACTAACAAAGAGTAGTTGTTTTGAAAATAGGGCTTTTGTATATTAGCCTTCGGTGACTTTCAGTACTTAATTTACATTCAATGGATATGTCAAAGCATATTCTACATATCTAAATAGTAGGAAAATCATTTATAATGACTACGAACTATTATTAATTTGTTATTGTAATCTCTTGTAAACAAGCGTTTGCTAAACCATGTGTCATTTGAAATGTAATGTATTATTTAATGTAATTTAGTTAAACCAAAATTATAATATAGTTAAAACAATCTACAAGTGAAATGTAACCCATAGGACAAATACAAATAAACTTTTACTATTACAAGATAAAGGCTTTTGTAAACGCCTCCGGTAAAGGAGACAATAACGATTCTACCCTTAAAGCCGGTGCTTTTACGAAACCTAATAGTTGTTTAGAGAATAGCTGACCATTTTTGTAATAAGGTTACCAATAGTTTCTTATACTTAATAAAAAAGGCCTTCTTTAAACTAAAAACACTTCGTTTTTACTATCATGTTATTATTTATAAAATGAAGTTACCAATTTAGGTAGGTTGAGTGTATACTTGATATATAAAAAATATTTTAAAACATAACGAAAAATTAAAAAAATATACGGTATAATTTTGCTGTCAAAACTATTTAATTGTTTATGTCAATAAATATAACAACGATAATTATTGTAAATAAACATCCGATAACATTGTTATGATATAACTTGATATTAACAAAGAGAATTGTATTTAGTAGAGAATTATATAAATATGTCAGAAGGGTGTTGTGAAACAATAAATAATCTACATTCAGTGTAAATAATGAAATATGTACAAAATATCCCAGCTAATGTTTAAAGAGTAAAGGAATGAAAAACAACAGGACGTGACGGGAAACAAAGTACATTTTTATCGGCGCTAGGGATCGCAGTAATGGCCGGTATTTCGGTTCAACTCTGTTGAAATCGGACAGAAAAAAATTCAGCATGATTCAGCGTTAAAGACTTTTTCTATGCTATGAATTGTAAACGAACATACATTCCTATGGATATCTTCACCGTTATCAAAATTTTGATATGCTAGCTAGCTTCTGAAAGGAAATCTGTACATTGAAGTTTAAGTTTATTTATATAAAGTTATCCTTCCATTCAAAGCAGTGAAGTTTGTTGGCACTGACAGTCCATTTAGAGTTCGTGTTAAAATTAACGATAGGTGAGGGTGGATTAGAATTGTGAATAGTGAATAGAATTTGTAAAAGTTGGCATTTAATTAATATTTATTGGTTAAATTAGTATCAAATAGCTTCATACGATGAACTTTATAAAAATGTGTACATATTATTAATTTAAGCTAGTTTTCAAAATATATTTTGTTTTAAATACTCATTATTTGTTTTTTCGATTGAGAAACGTATGAATATAATATTAATACGTCGTTTTGATATAATAAATATTTCAAAATTATTATAATATCTATAATAAATACCATCGCAATGTAATTAAAACTAAAGCTTCCAAAATATTGTTAAAAAAATTGATAAACTGCATAAAAATGTACATTTTTAAATTTCTTAATTGTATAATTAAGGTTCTAATAGTAATTGAAAGTAAATTCTGAAAATAATTAATTGAAGTCTTTTGGGTATCACAAAGAGGGTAAAAATATTTTCGTTCCTTTTTATTTACGAGGCAAACTATTGTAGAGGTTTTCTTTTGTAATAATAAATATAACTCAATAAATTTTCCCTGCGCCATAACTTTTGATAAGTCATGTTATGCTTTTAAAATTTTTGAAATGTAAATGTAATAAAAACAATGTTTTATTATAGAACTAATAGTTAATATGAGTACAAACTTTTTTTAAATGTCAAAGGTCTCAAATGAGCAGACGGCCTACTAGATAGGGAGTACTGACAGTCGCCCATGGATATTCGCAACATACTTAGATGATGTTACGGATACGTTGCCAAACTTGATTGTTGAAAAAAAGAGAGGGGGTTTAAGGGAAATACTTGTCTAAATTATATATCTTTACGTTAAACAAACGCTCAAAATTATTTACTAGTGTTAAAAAATGATTTTATAAATAATAATAGTTGTTATTACGGCGGGTTTGTCAAATCTTAAGATTATAAAGCATAACATAAAAAAGATTAATTATTATATACTTTCTCAATTTTTAAATAAAATCAGCATGAGAATATGAACATTTTCAAAATTTTATTGAATACTTTAGAAGCTTCTAATTTATAAATACAAATACATGTTTTTAACATTTACTTTATACCGACCGAGGTTAATGACATTTGAATTAGGCTTTTTGCGTAATTTGATCTAAATTCATACTATTAATAGTCTAATTTCAGCTTCTATAATTCCATTAGCTGATATTACTTCGTTGTAATAGATTTGGACTGTCTGATAGTGCTCTTAATGGCGGTCTCATCTTTTACTACAGTTTCCCAATTCTATTAATTATTCTAACTAAAATGAATGTTATCCCGTTGGTTTTGGATGTTTGTAAGAAAACATCTAACAGGACTATTCATTGGTGAAAAGTATTTGATGAAAGCATTACATTCGTGACTTAGGTGAAATATATTCAGTGAAAGGTTGTTTACTCATCTATATTTATTTCAAATATTTCAAAAGATAAAAGCTTTTTCTGAGTGTGATGAAATATATATTTGGTTTGTTTTATTTTTAGTCAGATTCTGACCTTTGAATAGCTTTTAGACGTCTGATGTTTCAGTAATACTCAATTATTAGCCATAAGAGAATACAAAATACTTTCAAAATGTATGATATCTTTATCACAGTGACTACAATTTCAATTTATATGAATAGTTATTATTAATAATTATTTTAATTTATAACCAGCTTTATGTTACTAAACATGCATACGGTTTCACAATGTCCTAGAATACGTTAACATTTCCATTAATTCGAGTACGAACTGTGTTTACATCACAATGCAGGTTTCATAAATCATTTAACAGTATACCTTGACATACTATATACACATATATACAGGACATAGCCCTCTTTCATTGATATGAAAATAATAAATGTGTTCTCAACCAGAGGTATTGCTCTTTATTAAAATTAATTCACATTCTACTTTCTTATTAAATCAATTATTTGTTATATAATAAAGAAAATGTTTAATCGCAGGTGTAACAGCCGGTGGAGGTGGTGGCTGGGAGCCTCTAGGACAACCTTACTTTGACAATAGCACGAAGCGAGAAGCTACAGCTGCTGTTGGTCAGCCAGCGTATCTGCACTGCAGAGTCAGAAATTTGGCTGACAGAGCTGTGAGTTTACTATCGATTCTATTTTAAAAGAATATATTTTTTGGGTGTTTACCAAGTATTGATGGAACTTTATTTCATGTTAATTTCTTAACTTCTACTAGTATTGATTCACATCACCGATACTAAATAGATCTACAAGTGTTTCAGTACATTCTGGTTCTTGATTTGTAGTAAATTTTATTTTTTAACCTTAAAGATATTTTATAGTTAATGTATATAAAATTGTTTATATGAATTTGGCAATGAACTTTACTTAAAAATCCTCGCTATACTTCCAAGTATGTATTCGTATTTTAAAAGTGCCAATTTATGTTTTTATTTCATATCATGAGCAAAATTTTTATTAAAGTACATTATACGGATACATAAGTTTATATTTTATACAACAATGCCCGTTAAAGGATCTGATATATAGTTCTGTCTTTCCAATTATTAATACATAATTTTACTCATTTCAAAATTTTAAATAAGACCTTGTTCTAATATTAAAAACTGTGTAATTTATATGTAGATAGTTATATTATATTATTTAGAAGATAATTAGTAGAAGTTAATAATATCAAAACCAAAAAATGTCAACCTTAAAATAATTTATTATTATATACGAACCCTTCATTTATGGTTGTTTTTGTATATAAACTAGAAGACCCGGCGAACTTCGTATCGCCCTATAATCAAGAAATATCTGTTACGTTTTTTTATTTATATTTTTTGAGTTTACCTATTAAAGCCATAAATCTCCGTGTTTTGAAGTGCGACAGAATGATTGACATATTAGTTAGTTGTCAAATCTAATGTCATAAAAAAACGTTTGTTTAACAACTATGTACTAATAAATTAAAAATTAATTAAAAAAACATTGTCCAGCGGACAAAATTATGAAACTATCTAACTAACTATCTAAACCATTCCCAGATCCCCTGAAACACACATAAAAAAATTCATCAAAATCGGTCCAGTCGTTTGAGAGAAGTTCAGTGAACACTCACAGAAGAATTATATGTATAAAATTTTTTTTTTTTTTTTTTATTATTCTTTATTGCACAAACAGAGGTGTACAAAGGGCGGACTTAACGCTATTACAGCATTTTCTGCCAGCCAACCCAGAAAGTGTAGGATAGAAGTAAGTAGGGTGTGCACAGAAGTTAAAGAAACATTAAAAATATATACATGATATAAAATACATACATATACAAATACATATACATAATATACATAAATATGCACAAACAAATACATATACAAGTACATAAATATTTAACATATATACACAAATATATACATATATATATATATATATGAATCCAATAATGAGAATAGTACAGAAGAAAAGACATCACATAGTGTTGACAGACGACAGATAAAATTCTCTCACTTGACGCTTGAAAGAATCGCGCGAAGGGGCTCTACGAATAGAGTCAGGCAAAGTGTTCCAAAGCCGGGCTGCGACTAAAGAGAAGGAGTTGGAAACAAAGCCAGATTTATGGGGAGGTATGAAAAGGGTAAGGGATTGAGAGGATCGTAGGGGCTTATTATGGGTAGAGGAGAGAAGAGAAAATTTAGAGGATAAATAGGTGGGAGCTTTAGGGTCGGTAAGAATAGAGTAGAGAAGACATAGAATCCTAGTATACCTACGTTCCCGTATAGGAAGCCAGTGTAACTGCTTCCTAAAACGAGAGACGTGGTCGAACTTGCGTAAACTAAAGATGAAGCGAATGCCGTTGTTTAGAAGACGATTAAGTTTTTGGAGGTGTTCTTCCGACAGGTCTAAGTAACAGGAGTCACCGTAGTCAATAATTGGAACCAAGAGGGTAGAAGCAAGCTGGATTTTAGTTTCCATAGGCAAAAAATTTTTTAAACGCATCATGGAATGCATAGTGGCATAAAACCTACGAGAAACTTCTTTAATATGTAAATTGTGACATTTTAATCTACAATCCTGTTTTCATTAACAATTTAACATATCTTCTTTAAAATACAACTTCTTATACAAAAAACCTACTCGTATTTCTTGATTGTTCTCTTTTTCGTCTTCGTGTTAAGCTATTCCAGTGTAGACACAGCAAACATTTCATTCAAAGTTATTTTTATATAAAATAATTAAAAATAATAAAAAAATCTAGTTTAAAGTATAAAGTCTGTTTGTTAAAAGTCTGTAATTACACTAGGAAAACTGTGTAAATTATAATTGATTTCTAAAACCTTTTAAGCATACCGTTGAAATGATGCTTTTTTTTGCTTTCTGAAGCCCTTAGTGATAATTATTTCTTATAAAATCTGAAATTTAAATTATATTTTTACAAAATATTTACTTTTCAACACTAATGAGTGTCTTCATTAAATGTTTTTTAAATAAAATAATAAGTCGATATACAGATAGCCCTCGTTAATCATTATAGCAAAAAATGGTATCTATTACTTAAGTAGCGCATAAAATTCTTCAACAAATCACTTTGTGCGAAATTAATAAATTGTTAAAGTTTGGCCAAAGCCATTATTAAAGGAAAAGCATCAGCTGATAGTTTCGACCTAACCACCCAAAGTCACGATTTTTAGCAATCTGTTAACGTCCAAAATAGATTTAACACCAATGATGTTTGATGTTTTTCTTTATGAAACTACATTAAAGTAATGAAAATAAAAAAGAACACACTTTTGTTATAGAAATAATCTGTGTGTGTTTCTTATACAATTATGGGTTATTTTTTAAAAAGAATTGGGACGATCTACTCTTTTATTCATGATTATACCTTGAGTATGATTACGTTGCATAAATTAAACGTATAATTAATTAGCTTAATTGATGCTACTAATACCTTATTTGAAACGTAGTAGTTTGTGATAAATTTTAGGAAGATTTTTTATAAAAAGTGAAAAATCTTAACTCTTAAGTTAGGATTAAAGATTTTTCACTTTTTACTGAGGCATACCTTTTTTACTTCACAAAAAAAACGAACAGTGGATATTAAGGAAAAATATTCAAATTTAAATTGAAAAATATTATAAGTATCTGTATATATAAACGGATACTTGTGTTTTTTGACTATAAATGGGTTAAGCCGTTTATAGTAACGGTCAGTATTGTAGATGTCACAAGCATAAAATCAGTAAATTATTTATCAGTTACTTTATTTTAAAAAGTATCAATTAAATAAATTTTGTTACTCCTTGATGTTTTGTTTATATTATTTTTAATAGATTTAGCACCTTTGCCTAACCTAAGTCTAAAAACAGACCCCTTTGAAAGTATGATGGTATAAACCCGTATATGATATTAAACGCGACAATATCGTGAAGATAAAAAGTTTTAAGCCTCTATATGTTAAGGACATTTACAAACTTAACACCTATAGAAGGTCTAGAATAAGGCATGATAGCCAAAATTATGACAAGTACTATAATACCACTACGATAACGAAATAAAATCTATAACTGAAAATTTACTTACACCACAGTTCAGTTACGCTTTTGCAAACTTATTTGTAGTTAGTAAACGAGGCATATCGTTGTATTGATAAAACAGTATTCTAAAAAAAAAGCTTATTTACAGTTTATTTTTAACTAAGAGATTTATTGGAGTAGAATGTACTAAATACGTAATATGAAAATTAATTTCGTAAGTAATATTTCATCTAAGACTTCCACGAGTATACATTTTAGTAAATCTATAGTTTGCAGTAATAATAATCACAGTAACTCTATAGCTATTGACACTTTAGACAAAATGAAGAATATTAAAATACGCTACATAAATCGGAAAAATATATATAAATTTAATGATTAGGTATGAGGTATACTTCATCAGTATATCTACTGTGCCAAGTAATGCTATAAAGCCTTATTAATTTTATAGTAAATATATTAATATTTGCGTTTTTATTCTACTATTGCGTTTTTTGTACAAGATTTTTTATTAAATTTGTTCAGTAGGTTATGTGGACAAACATCAATAATATATTTGTGACGATTTACTCGTTACTAAATAAAGTTAACAGAATATCGATCGTGATTTCCACCTCAAAAGTATATTGGAATTAAATAATAAAGTCTTTTCTTCATTTTATAATAATATTTTTTCACATAAAACTATAACGATGGCCTACTAAGTGATTTTCGAGCCAAATGAATAATAAAAAAAATAAATATCAGTTTTTATGGAATTGGTACAACTTTTTGATAGTATGATGGATATTTATTTGGAAAGATATTTTGAAGAACCACATTTATTTTAGAGATAGAATATTCAGAATTATCATGGTTTCCGATGCGAGCTCGGAATGAATAGAGACCAAATTGCTATTGAAGGGTTTTGCTACGCTTACTCATTCTCCCCGCAGATTGCACCGATTCACTCTTACGACTATCATTTTGGTAAATTGATAGAGGAACAAAAAACATACAAATATCTTGCGATAGGGTTCTCTACAAAATAACTTTTTTCCTGTTTATTATTTTAGATTTTTTAGTTATAGGAAGTTTTAGCCGTAAAAGATAAACATCATAGGACAGCTCATATCTGTCACAAGTTTTTTGTTACGTTAATTTACATCTCATAAGCTACACAAAATGCATGTATCTCATTATATTTTTTTTTTTTACAATCTGATATAAATTTAAATGAAACTAATACTCCCGACGTTTCAGTTACTTTTCAGCAGCAAGTTGCTGTATAGTAGCCGAAACGTCGGGAGTATGTAGTTTATAATCAAAAATAAATACGCGAAGTAAAATCCGCAAATATTAATTTCATTTAAATGAGTACTCGCGAAAATCTTAAATCTCATAATCTGATATAAATTATTATTTTTAAAAATGAATAAGTAATTAAAACTGTAAGCAAGGTAAGATACGCCAATATTTTTGTTGTTCCCGGTGCTTAGTCACAGGGAGTAGCAGGATTTTTTTGTTCCAATTTTTTGAGTGATTTAGGTAACTGAAAAGATATGAAAACAAAAATCAGATATACGAGTATTTTTTCACTTTTTCACTTTTGATTGACCGATATTAAATTATTCCACGTTTGAATATAGCCTGAATATTGACGAACGCTGAATTTAAGCTGCGAGGTTTTTATTCAACCCTGAATGATAGCAGGCTTTAACTGATACTATCAGTCGACCCGTATTAAAAAGTTTTTTAACGCAATGTTTAGATATATTGAAAACTGTTTTTTTTTGTAACATTTTCAGTAGCCTTTGAAATAGTATGATGGCTAGTTTGTTATTGATACAATGTAACATAAATTCGGAATGATAAAATTGTGTGACAAATGAAAATTTTATTTAATTAACTGAGATTGGATCCAATGAAAAATAAGCATAAAGTAATTTATATACATACTTGATTATTTTTCTTATCATTTATCCATTGCTATAAAACTTCAAGGGGTTAAATATTTTTTGATGTTATCAAAAATATTTAAATGAAACGAATAATTTCTCAAGTCTTTTAATTCTGTTATTATCAGCACATCTATTTGAAAACGGATCATGGGATAGGGATAACAGAAACTAGTTTCTATTTAAAATTTTACTGAAACGAGCTTAATGCTGCTTGATCTAGGCTTGACCTATAAAAACTTTTACGCGAGTAAAAGAATAGTTTGTGAATATGCAGTTATACTCAGTTAGATCACTTAGTTCCGTCGCCACGAAGCTTTTATACGCGATGGTAAGAAACTTTTAAATCTCAAGGCGAAACCTTTCAAATTCTCCAATACACCGCCATATTAAAAGGCCGCTGCGTGAAATAGGTCAGGAATTGTTTTATAAAAGTAGAGGAATACTTATTTTACTACTTTTTTTATTGTAATTTAATGCTTTATCTTATTGCAATGGATTTCCAACGTACAAAATTAAAATATTAAAAAGATATAAAAATATATGGGTTGCTTGTAATAAAGTTTTAAATTAAATGCTTAGTAGTAATATGCAATGCTTTCATATATTTAATTGTTACTTCTTATTATATTCATTGACTTATTTGATAAATTGTAATCCTCTGTAACAAAATCGAAGTTAAAATAAATTTTCAAAAAACAGCAGTAATTATAACTGCTATTATTGTTATAAGTTTCTATATTAGAATCAAAGCCATCACTTAAATAAAATATTTAAAAATGTAAATTACTGTTCTTTTATAACATTTATTGTTGTAGTTATCAAATCGTTTTCGGTTCTGCAAAGTAAGTTTTTTTAATAAACAATATCTAAAAGATCTTGTTCTTTAATGCCAGATGAAATACATTTATTTACACTTTGGCTGATCAGCTTTTCCCCGCATGACTGCTCTATATTGCCAATTGAGACACATTTCTCACATGTATTTGTTCTATTGCGAATCAATCAAACCCATTCAATGTAATCCTTTTACGCGATTGAGTGAACCATCAGACCTCCAGACGCCTGGAATTATATGCCTCAGCTCGTAACTTCGTCCGCGGGTTTCATTTTGGTGATGTTACATTTTGTGATCTATAAAATGTAATATCACCGAAATAAGAGGAATATTTTAAATTTTTTTGAAAACCATTTCAATTGAAAGCTTCATGTTTATCAGTTTAATTTACTCGTTACTTTCAAAAATTTATACTCAAAGTTATGCTTTTTATTTAAAAAAATCTCTATATTTTTAATAATAAACTAGTGGTTTTTTTTACGTATATACCACAATACATAGAAGTGTTTATTTATTCCTTCTATGCTGTGACCCTAATTGCTTAGTTATTTAAATGTTAACTTAACTTCAATATGGATATTATATATCTTATTTCATATATTTTAAATATTCGATGTAACATAAACAACATTTCAAAATTACTCTGAGATTATGAGTGTGAAAACCCTCAAATTAGTTTTATTTAGTTTGAAGTTCAAAATCAGGACAGTTTTCGATCTACTAATCTCCCTTAATTAATAAATCGTATTTGAAGGCTATTTTGTCCCTCATCAAATGTGAAATATTTAGAGGTGGAATACGTTAACAGTCACATTTATATAGCATTATCACATTCTGTGCTCATTTTATTACAATAGCCAAACCATAGGAGTAGACTCACAATGCACATTATATTCTTCTTCATTAAAGTCTTCACAATTTCCTTTTAACGTGAAACTGCAATTTTTTTTTACGTAGAAATTGAACTGGTTTGACAATTTCTTCATTACCTAGGTTTATTTGTTACATTTTATTTATGTTGGTTGGTTATAATTTTTATCATTTTTTAACTTAAACCATGCTTCCTATAAAATTTTATATTTTATTTTGTTTTTTAATTATATTCAGTCGAATGTGACCCATATATGTATGTACGAGTTAAAAATTTTAAGCAATGTTTAATCACATATTTTACAGTAATGATTATCGATATATCATTATATTGTTTGTAACTTATCCTGTATATACTATGAAAACAAATATGCTTGCTACTGCTATTTACCTGTTTAATACGAAGTTATTAACTAATGAAGTAAATACTCAGTGTAATATATGTAACCTTTCAAATGTATAAGAAAGAGTAAATTTTATTTAATAGTATTATAATCGAATAAATAACGCTTTTTTGTATTAATAATACATAATTTTCACTAAAACCAATCAATTAGATTATAACACACTTTATCAAGAGCTTAAAATACATTAAAGTTCACATCAATTATTTTATGATTGTCTCTAAAACAAATGGATTGTATTTTCCAATTAGAACATTTACTTCGCAAACGAGCACTGAAAACTTTCAATCCGTGGACTAATTCTATTGTTCGCCGTCCGTCTTAGCTGTTCCAGATTGTAAGGTGCTCTTGGTACAACGAGAAATTTTAAACAACTTCACAATTACGGATAATTGGTTCTCGGGCGTCTTTACCGAAAACGAAAAGATTTTATGAAATCTTAAGCGTTTTAATTTATATATCTTCATGAAGGCAATTGAAATTAGGAAGATTTCAAAGACCTTTCCCTTTTCAAGCAATCTTCTAATGGATGTTTTTTACCAAGTCTGGCGGAATTTTATACAAAAAAAAAAGTTTTTGAAACCAGATCATCAGCTGGTTTTATTATCTAAACAATTTTAGTTGTGCAAATATTTCTTTTAATAGTTACTAAGCATGAATGTGTTTTAGGTATCCTGGATTCGCAAACGCGATTTGCATATCCTGACCGTGGGTGTGCACACATACAGCAGCGATGCTCGCTTCGCAGCACTGCATGCGGACGGCTCCGATGAATGGACCCTGAGGGTAGCACCAGCTCAACCACGAGACTCCGGTGTATACGAATGTCAAGTGTCCACAGAACCCAAAATTAGTTTGTCATTTAGACTCACCGTTGTTGGTACGTATAAATTCTGAAATTGAATAACTAAGTTTGTTAAAATTCAAAAAGCATTATTTCTTCACAGTTTGCGAGCATTGCAGAATATTATAAGATATATTTTATAAGATAATAATTATTAAGTATTTAATAACACACCCAAACGCAAAGGAAATATAAAAATGTTATGTAGTAAAACGTCCTTTTTGTGTATAATTTTTAAGATATGTATTGCTATAATTTAGGAATAAAAAACAGTTAAATTGCTGTGTAATGATATGATTGGGCTTTAATTACCCTTTCATTCCGTTTTCATGCTTTATTTGATTTAATTCAGTTGATAATTCTCTTATTCATTAATTACTCGAATTCTGCATACTTTTATATTTTACCCTGTCTGAAGGATTTATTCACTGTTAGTTACCTATTATTTTTAAATTGTAAACAATAAAAACTACAATAAAAAAGATAATCTTAAAGATAAAAGTATCATTTTATGAAAGACAAAGAATTATTTTACAAGTAGCGGTACGATTATAGACTGTTTATAAAAATAAAATACTAAAAAGATAATCAAAACAATAATATCTTATCCATTTCATTACATTTAATGAACGAGTCATTTAAATATTTCAACCATTATTAAATATTAAGTATAACTTAATTTTGTATAACGTTTTATTTTTATTAAAATACAATAAGTAAATGCAAAAGTTTGTTTTTTTAAACGATAATATAAAATGCCTAAATCATTACTCGTTAACTTTTAACAGTTAAAGATTTAATTAACTTGCATTGAAGGTAATTCATATTAGTAAGCCATCAAATTATAACATTTTCAATAAAATTCTGTTCTGTCATTTTTTGGACATATTCGACATATTATATATTCGATACATGACAAAATGTTGTATGCAGTTGTTTAAAAATATCTATAATGCTAAAATAGTTAATTATTAATTATTAGCAGCATTAGAATTTTATTTGAATATAAAGACAATATATAGCTAAAACAAGTTATCTATTATTACTTCCATTATAATACAAAAATATAAAACAAAGCTACTGAATTATTAAAAAGCTTTACTTTACATAAAGTTACTACGTATCGTCCACCCAGCACGTAGCTTGCCTCGTGCCCTCTTTTTACCACTCCAGGCGACCTGTCGATTTTCACAAGACGCCCACCCCAAGAGAGATCTATGTTCGTTATTAAAGTATTGAGAAGATAATATGCCGACATATTTCATAAATATTTAGTTAGGCATTTTAATTTTTATATCAGTGACATTAAATCTAAATCCTATTTCATAAATTTGATCATGAAATAGATTTGAAAAACAGGAAGAATCTGTTTCATGGAATATACAATTCACTTGTTAGCTACTACCAATACAAACAACCTCGCTTATAATGAAAGCCACTTATTTTAGGAAAATGACGTAATTATCAGCAATTTTATTATTATTTGATTAAGCCCAGTTGTTATTCTACTATTGGGTGACCTTATAATAATAATATCTGATAATTTACCTCATAGGAACTGATGACAATATTTAAGTTTATTTGTCTCTCTCCCTCTGTTCAAACTTATAATTTCTAATCAGTTTTGTTAACTATCTATTTAATTATATTTTTAATATTTACAATAATTACAACATTATGCAAATTAAAAACAACTATTATTTTAAAATAAAAAAATTAGACATCTATTTAGCTAGCTCTAACTGAAAATAAAAGTCATTAAAAATCTTATATCTGTCAACAGTGTCGAAAGCTGAAATTTTATCGGGACCGGAGCTGTTTGTGAGGGCGGGTTCAGATATTAATCTCACTTGCGTCGCAAAATACGCTCCCGATCCCCCTAGGTGAGTAGATTATTATAAATATATTCTTTATTTTTAAAAATTATACAAATTTACAAGAAGTATTTCATATTTTTTAACTCTAACAAAGTTAAATTAATTGATGTTTTAAATGATTTTGCATATTTTCAACGTCAAGCTTATAAGATATGTATGTGTTTATATCCTTTTAAATAATATTGACAGAAAAATAGTTCTAAAAAATATGAATATTATACAATATTTGTTTAAACAATGTACTAAGTGACACGATTTTATTTTCCATACTGGAATTATGGTTGTAAAATACATTAATCTTAGACATAAATAAGGTTTAAAGCCTATTTCTTTAAAGGCTATATGTGGGTTTTTAATCAGTTTTGTGTTTTTGAAACTAATAAATTATTATATTAACATTACTCCAATGTCATATGAAAGTTAAAAGAAGAAATTTTAATGAAGTTCGTAAATATATGCTTCAGTATTAAATATGCATCAAAAAAATAGTTTTAACCCTACAGGATAATATTACCAATATACAATATCGAATTATAAAGCATAAATCTCAGGAGATTTTGAAGTGAAAAATATTATAGTAATTAAATTATTTACAGTAAATTTTTCTAATATAAATATTTTCAAAAAAGGCAGCGAGATCGTTTCCACAAATCCCAATATATTTATTTAACAACCTATTTATTCTCGCATATATGAACATGATAAGCTTATTTTCTAATAAAAGGGTCGGTTGAGGTCCCTAAGTGAGGCATTCTTTGCCTATCACCATTTAATGGGACCGTGTGCCTGAGATCTTTCAGTGAGGGACCTTCAATTTGAATATTGATAGGTTGATTTGCTTCCCAAGAAAAGAAGTTTTTTATTGAGGCCATCTCATGAGTTATGCATGTAGTATTTTTAGTTTTCAATAATAATATATTCTGAAGGCCAGTAACTTTTAATATAGCTGTTTTTAAACAAAAATACTTTTTAGACATATGTAGTTTTCTATTTTCAGATGTTTGTTACATTACTTCGTAAATAATGAAAACGTAACGGAATAGTAATTTTCCTTTGATCAAAATTACCATAAAATACAGTTTATTTTGCTTATTTATATGAAATCAGAAAAAGGATATTTTTTTATGAACAGTGGAAAAAAAAAACACATATTTTTTAACTAATTAACAAATGAGACATGCTCATATTTCAATTGACAACTAACATGAAAAAGAGAGGAAAATTTGTTACTGAATATTTATATGGACTGAAGGTTATTTTTAAAAACAGTCGTTTTAAGAAAAACAATTTTATTAATATGTTAGAAAGCTTTGACAAAACCGAGAAGCTATGGACTATTCTTATTTGAAATGGGGTTACGAGTTATATAGAGGCTAATGAGCTGAAAAGGCTTAAAACAAAAAAGGTTTATATGAACGAGATTAAATGAGTATTTCCACGAGACTTGCTGTGTATTTTTCTTCTCGTATTCGACTCGAATGACATATTACAATGATTTTCCGTAATAGTATCGGGTTAAGTCTGTTTAAAAAAAATATTTTCTCGTCTTACAGAATCTTTCTGTATACATTTATGTTATAAAAAGTAATTTCTAAGACTCGGTAGGTCATACATACATACATCATCTAACATAATTAATTTGAAGTCCCATGCTAACAACAACTATGCGTATACTCAACATGGAATTACGATCATATAACCAATAAAATATTTTAATAATAAATTTATTAAATTTTCAACTTACGAGTATATTGGACTAAAGTTTGAGTATTTATAGTAAGTACTCATCAGAATATTTTCGGCTTTCAATTTTGTTTGGATGTGTCCATCCATGAATAATCGAGATCAAAGATATTTAATAATCAATTTTGGAGTTAACTGTTTTATCATTATTTTATTTTAGTTCTTGTAAAATATCATGAGAATAAAATTTTAAAATTAAATATTGCTAGATTAGTTAATATATTCACTATATTAAAATATTATCTTACATAACATGTTGTAAATAGTAATAGTATTTAAAAGTATATATTAGTATCTTTTCCGACTTTTAATTATATATTTTAAGACTACTTATAAAAGCCCCATCATGGAGGCCATACTTACTTTACAGTTGAAATTTTGATGATCGACAAGGTCATTACGGTTTGCGCTCTATATCTTTTTAAGCAAAAATATACTTCCATTAACAATCTTTATTTAACAAGTGCTCCAATATTGTAAGAATTCAGATTACAGTTGCATAAATCAAGCAAAAACTTTACAATTATCAAAATTGATTTCTCTTAATATTTAAAGATAATATATATACAAAATTTTTCATAGCTTCATATACTGGTATCGAGGCGAACAAGTGGTAAACTACGCACAGCGTGGTGGAATCAGTGTTGAAACTGAGCAACGTACCCGTACAAGCCGTCTGCTCATTGCCCGCGCCGCACCCCATGACTCTGGCAATTACACCTGTGCGCCGAGTAGTTCAGGTAAGTGTTTCTGTCCTAAAACGTAATGTTATCTAATTTAAGCACTTCTAAAGAGAGTTTGTTTTTGAGAGTCTGTGGTTTATAACATTAAAATCTGTTTTCGATATAAATATTAAAGTACGAGTATTTTTTTGATTTTGTTACAAATAATGAAGTAAAAATCTTTTAATTTTTATATTTTGTGGACTCTGTCTTTGTTTCAAAGAATCTTATGTCAAGAAATCAATCACTCTAACTTCACTTTAATCGGTAAATAATGACATGTTCATATTTTCTAAGATAAAGTAATGAAATGACCACCACGTTCTTGACAATATGTGTACAATAGCTAAAATGCATTTCTCGCACGAAGCAGTACTTGAACTAGATTATATCGTGTCATAATCATGGCAGCAATAAAAAGGAGCAAGTATGTGCATACTAAAATGTAGGAATAAAACGCGACACACTACTTAGTGGTAGTACCACGAGAGTACAGTATTTTACGGTAGCTTATGTTACTATTTTGAGTTTATCCTATTTAGTTTTGCTGAAAATTTAATCAACTTAAGCCGTTTCTTAACTGCGTTTATAATAATGTTTTACTACAGTTATAAAAAAGAAGATAATGTTATTTATAGAATTATTTAATAATTTATTTTTTATGTGTGAAGAATAAGGGGTAAAAAAAATATGTCCTGTAAATTACGTTTTATAGTCTCATTATTTCTTTCAATTGTGTTCAAAATTTTACGGTTTTGTTAATTTCTGATTTAAGAATGATACCTAATCTGCGTGTCACTTAATTTTATTTGTTTACAAACACGAGTGAGGCTTTTGTAAGATACTGTAGAGTATCAGAGTAAATTCGTTAAATTTTCAGTGTTGATTCTCCTGACTAGTTTTAGCATAACCATTTTCATCAATGATGCATGTGTCTTATAAAACAAATATGATTTGTATTCTTTCTTAACAAAATATTACTTCTCAACTATTTTTTTTTAAATAACTAATTTATTGATGATAGTTTAATTTTTATCTGCACTTCGTATTTGTACATTTTATTGACAAGTTATTGTAAGTTATTGATATTTTTTACTAGTACAGTTCTTTTTACAGGGATAAAAAATAAAGATATTTGCTTACTGCTACTTCTATAGAAAAAAAAACAACCTAAACGTGACTTATCATCTTATTTCCACTTCGGACGAGACCTTACGTCTCGTCATGCTTTGCTTATTATATTGTTCACAAAGTATATATAGACAGGTGCCTTTTGAACATGAGATATTATGTTTAAATCTATACGTAACATATGATATAGTTTTATAAACTATAACACGTTTTCAACATTTTGATTTTATAGTCCTTATATAAAGCTTGAATAACTTTGAATACAGTTAACAAGTTATATGAAACCAAGGTCTACGTCTAAATGAAACTAATATTTTTCGGATTATACTACCCGACTTCATTTTTGTAAATAACTGCATATTCCCGAAGTTTCAGCTTCTTTTCAGTAACCGTGATCAAGATAATGTGTATACAAAGTACCGTGATCACGGTTGCTGAAAAGTAGTCGAAACGTCGGGAGTATGTAGTTTTTTATAAATATTAAGCAGCGTAGTAGTATCCGAAAATTATTAGTTTCATATAAATCAATTATAATTATAATAAATCTGTAGAGCGATCAATTCTGTACATAAAATCTATTTAAAAAATAACTATCTGGGGGTGGTTAAGGATCGCTACTGATGCCAAAAATGCAATCAGTAAAATTTTCGTCTGTCTGTCTGTCTGTATATTCGTTATGGAAACAAAAACTACTGGACGGATTTTAACGCAATTTAGCATAATTATTTTTCATACTCTTGGGCAGGTTATAGTATACTTTTCATTACGCTACGATAAGTAGGAGCAGAGCAGTGAAGGGAAATATTGGGAAAACGGGATAAGTTACTCATTTTTTTAAACTTTCGTCGCGTGTGCAGGCTTATAGGTTAAAGCTACATAGAAATCATGTTTGACGGAAATATTCTCCTTAAAATTATATAAAAAGTATTCCTCGACGGTAAATATCTATTGTGAACATGATCTAAACAATACAACCACTATAAATAATAATAAATATTACCAATACATTTACTTATTACACAAGGAATTACACGCTGACGGAGTCGCGGGCACAGCTATCTATATTTTTCTGCCAGAAGTCACTATTCCACGCGGATGAAGTCGCGGGCAAAAGTTAGTAAATCAATAAAACTCTCGAAAATCTAAGATCTCCTTAAGGTCTACTTGTATTATGAATGCGTCAAGTAATAATATTTCATACGTAATTTGAGACAACAACAGAGTTCAATTTTAATTCGGATCAGATGGAAATTATTTTCGTAAAGATTCTCTTTAAACATCAGTACTTACAATGTTTAAAAGAAAACGCGGTATTACTAGCAAGATACCAATTAAAAGTGAATAAGATAATGTGTATACCAAGTATTATACTGCTTTTTAGATCATGGTTATAGTTTAATTAGTAAAGTTGATTTTATAATGATATTGTAAATCCGAGTAAGTCATAGTGAATTTTTAAATAATTATTTTACCCAGACGGGAGATTAAATATCTGAGTCCATCAAATTTGTTAAAGTGGCTACAGTAAATAAAAAGTAGGAACTTGGCCACCTGAGACTTAAACGCATTTTGGCATTAAATTTAATGTTAGCATTATTTTACCCAAAATTATAAAAGAAACTTTTACAACGAAGTTGAGAGCGATATTTTTATTATAATATTTTTTAAGGTTTCTTTTCCATGTCTAGTAAGTTACTGCCATTCATTTACCTGTCATGGAATACACCTGATCCTTTAGAATTTGATAAGATACTATAAATAAAATTGACAAACGTTTTTATGGTTCTATTTTATTTTTTATTTCTTAGTTTTGAATTCCCTTTAACAGTATGTGTGTCTAAAGATCTAATAAACCACTGACTGAATAATTATTATTTTAATTTATAATAGATAAACATTATTTAAGAATGGTGTAAAGCACGGTTACGCCTCCGAAGATTACAATGATTGTAATATAATTCAAATTATCATGTAAACCTCAACCCTTCTTAAGGTCGTGGCCCAGATGTATTTCTTAAAAGTTTGTAACATGTCACTAAAGTAATTAAAATAATTTAGTAAAGAAAAATAATTCTGATTTTTTAGAAAGATAGGCACAATGAAGTCTTTTGTTTAATTCCCTTATCAACTATTAATTCTACCTAAATTATCTGAGAAAAATATTTTTTATGACAGTGTGTTTTATTTTATAAAACTATTTCTAATAACTCAGCAATATGGATCACTTATTTCACGTTTAGTTGAGCTATACTTTGTTGGGTTTGTGGATGTGATTTCTATCAACTAAGAAAAGAGAACATGAGGTTAAAGTTGTGTCTAGTGATTTTAAAAGGTTTCCCATGAAATCCAATATTCAATTTTAAATAGAAAATTAATTTATTAAAAAATTAATTCATGTGATTCGCCTATTGGTTCAAATGGATAGCTCTATATCTTCGAATTAGAATCCAATCAGTTGCGATAAAAAGATATGGCTCCATTATCTCAAGAGTTCCTCAAGGCCTCTATTTTGGACTGTTGTTGTTTTTAACATTTTTGCAATTTTACATATTAGAAAAAAATCAGAGTTTCTAATTGGATTGTATATAAATTGTATAATATTATATATAATTGTTGAATTTTGCATAAAGGTTTTGATACAGTATAAAAAAATACAGTCATTGTTTTTTGACCTGAACCTCAACTTTGAAAAGTGATACATTATATTTTTAGGACGCATTACAATACTGTTGTATTTCACAACAAACTTACAAAACAATCATTAGTGAAGTTACAAAGATGATATTTTATAACGCAAATATCACAAAATAATTTGAAAAGTTCATTGTATGTTAGGCTACAAATAAAAAAAAATAAAGATATTGGATATAAATTTTACTTGAAATTACTAAATCACGTGTGTGATATCAATTAGCGATAAGTCTCAATATGCAGTCAGTGTCCGATCTTAAGGCTACGAAAGTACTTGTGGGGTGGGTTCAAAACAACTGCTGTTATTTTTAGTTTCTATCAATTATTTATAATCTTGATTTGTGTGTTAGTTACTGTAAGTGAGTATCAACCTACTAAAAGGACACATTCACGTTATGGACAATGTATGTTCGTGCATCGTGATTTAAAATTATATGGCTATATCCAATTAACCAACCAATTAATCCAATTAACAATTATAAGATTAAAACCCATTCATATTTTATGGATAACCAGTTCTGTAAGAACATCTGCAGTAACTTCACCGCATGTTATCTAGTAAATTTCTCTGTTGGGATTGTAATTTTCTACCCTTAACGTAAGTCTTTTGTTGTAAAACCGATATTGCATGAATCTGTTTGCAAAACCCTCCTCTATTGTTCATGGGGCCCGTTAGTGTATCCGTGGGTAAAACAAATTTAATCTGCTGTGTTTTATGAAAAATAATCAGCTAGAGACTGTTTTTTTGGATTTTCAATTAACTAGTTCCACACCTTACACTCGTTGACATTCACGTTTCTGTTCACTTATCTCTACAGCTGTGAAAAAGTGACTTCTTAAAATCAATAAAAAGGATTGAAATCAAACAGTCAAAAACTAGTTAATTCAGCAACAACTTTCTTAATACTGATTCTATACAAATTACTCGAAAATACTGGTAGGTACGATAAAGAAAGTATAGCTACTTTTTTTATCTTACCAGTATATTCTCAACTTGCGTCAACCGTTATTTAACGAATGCAAGTTTATTAAGGACAGTAATTTTTTTTTTTACAAATTCCAAATTACTGTTTAGCAATAATAACAGTATAATTAATTTGCTTCGACAAATTCTATTTGAAGATGTTTTAAATATATTGCAGCCATCAAAAATAAACAGATTAAGAACTTATAATGAGATTGAATTATAACTTTTGACTATATCTCAAAAAAAATAATGTTTATAAGTAAATAATATCAATGTCTACTATTTCTCTGTTCGATTGAAAGGAATTTAAACTAAACGTCGTATCCTTATCAAAGCTAAAAATAATTTTAATAAGGTTTATGGCAATATTAATATCTAGAATCTGTCTGTGTTTTTGATATTTGTAAGAAAGTCGAATTCGTTTTAAGATAATTACAATTTAAATTTTAATTCAATCTGTTTCAAAGAAAAGGTGAAAACTTCGTTGATTTATGTAACATCTATTTTGCCTTACATTTTGATATGTAATGTTATGATGTTAATATTATCTTGTTATCAATGTTCATCCTTTTTTGGAGGAGTATTTTATGAATTTATAATATATACATAAATTACATCTTTTTTACTATATTTTAGATCTTATTTTAATGATTTACATTATTTTTTTATAAGAGCATGTAATACAATTATAAACCATTATTTCCCACCATAATAGTAAAATTAGAAGTAATAGTAGTCTTATATGTATATCAAATTTATAAACATTATCAATAGTAAATAGCTGTTCTAGTTGTACTGAATTTATATTTGTTTTTGTGACAGAATCTGCTTCCGTGATCGTCCACGTACTGAGTGGAGAGCGACCAGCAGCAATGCAAAGTTCTTGTCCACCACCACCAAGCCTGAATCGAGTTTTCTTCATTGCGACCACGATAGTAGCAGCATCAGCGACCAAAATCCGCCGAGATGTCTTGTTTCCATTAATATTATACATAACCTACAGCTTTCTTCAAGTAATTGGAATTGTGGTATTAGTTTTTGCAATTTTTTTTATACGTCAAATTCACTATTCATTTATTTCAATGTCTGAAATGAGATGACCATCTAAGTAAATTTTATATATGGAAACTGTAGATGCTTTGTGTAAAGTATATCACCGTTAAAATATCCATTTGAATACAACGAGAATGTAGTGAATGACTGTTATCTATAAAATTTGTTAAAATTTCAGATCATTTTACAAAATTATATTTTGTGACATAAAAATGTATAATAAGAATGAAGCGTTATTAAAAGTAAAGCTTAAATAATTAAATTTGATAATAAATGTCTCTAAGAAGATTAGCGAATCGCATCTACTTCAGTGGGTTTAAGTCTTGAGGCGATTATTCGCCGCTTATTCTCTTTCGTTTTTCCAGCTAACTACGCTTGTCTTAATCCTCTACCAGGATTAAGAACAAATCGAATTCGTTATTCTGATCCGCCATGAGCTGAGATTCAATATAGGAGGCTTAAACTATGTGTTACGTATTTAAGCCGTTGGTCGACCTCTTAGCCACGTTATTTGCCTTGCCATCATCTTGAGTAAACAGTGATATCATTTATATTCAGTAATAACTTAATATATAATTATAAATAACTACTATTATTTGTATAGATGTTAATTTTTAAGCATCGAAATATTATATTCAAAATTGTTATCAAATTTTAGAGTGTGAACTAGTCGAAACAAGTAGTTGGGTGATAAAATCTTTAAAAAAGTATCTAAAGGAAACGTACTACCCACTATACTTCCGAACTAAGTCAGGGTCAGTGAAAACTCATGTTTAAATACATAAAACCAATCGATGTAGATGTTGGTATTATCAAACACTCATCCAAGATATCAAAAGTATAAAAAAGCGTTTTGATTAAAAACTACAAAATTTTATATCATTGTTATTGCTTTAGATTCAGTTGGTGACATTGGATTGGTTGAGTTTAATGAACTATAAAATGTTAGAGGTAAGTTAAATAGAGTTGAAACTTGAAGGTTAAAATATATATTTTCAATTATTCAAAATAATTACCATATTATGGTCTGATGTTGTTTTGTTTTAACTATAAGTCTGTTCATCATGTCCATATACTATATCTTGTCTATATCTTGTCGATTTTATTTTAAAACACAAAAATTATTCATTTGAACCATATTTTTTCTATTCCCTTTATTCGCAGTTGATCTTTGCGTTTATTTTCCCCCTACTGTGTAACTGGTGAGCATATTCAAGCGCTTGGTAAACTTTCACAAGTGATGTGAATTAATTGAATTTCATCATAAAAGAAATAAATGAATACTCAATTTTAATTTGGCAATTTTAACTTGTTTTGAAATAATACTTCTTTTATCATAATGCCATTCTGGTCCAAGTAAAGAGTAATACTTTATAGAAAAATACAATTTAATTGTAAAAATGTAGGAAAGTTTTTGTGTACCTTTATCTGTAATTTAATAAAAAAATTGTTTATTTTTACAATTACCGTTTAGGATATTTCTGTATATTATTTGTTTAAAGCTATTATTGGGTGAATCAGATCGTTTTAATTTTTATTTACTAGATTAGTCACTATATTATTACCGAGTTATTATAGTACTTATTTCTTTTAATAATATATAATTAATATTACAACAAGGACGTTTCGAATTATGACTATTCTTTCGTTCTTTCTTATTTTCATCTCTTGAATAATTTTATGACTCGTAAGACTTGTGATTATTCTATGTAAATATAAAATACGTTTTGTACATATTTTATTGTAAATACAGTTGTTAAATTAAAAAGTTTTGAAGGTAAACACATGTAATATTAGTTTAAGCGCATTCTTCGCACCTTAAGGTGCTAAAGCTGTCTCAATAATGTGGTAGACAAAAAGGGTTGTGTAATAAACTATCAAATGTAGATGTACTTCACTACAAATATAATAAAGAATTAATTAATATGGAATCGTTTTATTTTAAAGTAAACCTTATTTAATAAATAGGTATATTGTTAGCACTGTTTCAGGATTCATCAAAGGGTAACAGAAGTGACATTATCATTAAAATTGTATGAGTACAATTTAACGAAAAGGATTTCAAATTTCAATCATTAGAGTAAAACATAGACAAAAGAAATCATTATACCAAGATGTTAAATAAAAAGACAGGGATAAAATATAAAAGAGATAATAAAAGACTCGAGGCATTTTAAAACAAAATACACTGACGGAAGCAATGTTTTCTGCCTTAAGAGAGATTATACAAGTATTGAAGGAAATCATTGATGTGATACGTGAGCTCCATTTTAATAATGATGTGAATAAGTAAAATATTTCATTTGAACCGCTTACGTTTTGTTTTTCTTAGATTTAAAAAGATGAATATCTAGAAAATTATTAAGGAAATTTCAACTCTTTAGATTTGTTGTCTGATACTTCAATTATAAATATAAAATAGTACCTATATAAAAATTTATATTTATTTAAATGAAACTAATATATTTCGGATATACTACGCATGCTTTATTTTTGTATAAAACTATATATTCCCAAGGTTTCGGCTACTTTTTAGCAACCGTCATCACGGGCATCTCGTCTTCGTAGTACATATATCCGAAAAATATTAGTTTAATTTAAATGAACAAAACTCGCGGAAGTCTTAGATCTCAATTTCTACTCATATAAAAATATATTTAATACTGAAAATGAATCATTACGTATTACTCGACTATTAAATAGATTTTTAAATGTTTACGAATAAAAATACAAGTACAAAACTTGGCGGGTAATAAAGAAATGCTCTACAAATTTTACTTCTAATTGGAAATTCTGACATTGAGAACAATAACAAAACTGCAAAAACATTTACGATTTTTACATTTTATTTTAGTTATTTTTATTTTTTTTAAATTTTAAGTATAAAAATATCACATTTCCATTTTACTAAAAGAATAGAAATATCAACAAAATACATACTGAGCCTCATCTTCAAACAAAATGTTTGATGGGTAAATACAATATTTGATTTCTCTATATCAAACTCAGCAATAAATGACGTGTGCGGAACTCATTACCATTGGTTTGTTTGCGAGTTATTAGTATGAACTTGTGTGATTTTTGTAAAAATGTCGCGTGAAAACAACATTTCATGTTACAAATTAATAAATTCTTAGAGTACGGCAAATTTAACTGAAACGTTAATACAACTGATTGAAATATAAAGGAATTAACTGGGAACTAATTTGTTTCATTTCGTTAACAAAGGAAAACATTTACATGTAAAGATTACCGCTTAGGTTTTTGTGAGGTAATAGGTTTTTACATTAATATTTTTTGTAAATGCAATATTCCAATCAAAGCTTATATTCCCTTACCTCGAAACCATTAAAATTTACGTACCACGATATAGATGTGAATAATGTGTTATATTTTTATGTAATCAAAAAAAAATATGGAGATAGGAGTTATAATTTTATTACTGAGCAAAATTTTCCAAAGTGTAAATTAAACACTAAAGGGCTGGTTTTAAAAGAGAGTCACTAATAAGTGAGTCCAAAGATGTTACGTAAAATTTTTCAGCATCTTCCTCATCTAACAAAAGCATTTCATAAAAAGTACACACCATGACACTATAGAAGGTGTACCGTAGTTTTTTTAATCCCCGAGTGTTCTTGCAGATCTGAGCAGTCGGGAAGAATGAAATAGCCTGAAGTTAAGATTCCTAGTCATCTTAATAACTAAAAACTGAAGATTGTGGGTATTTTATAAGGATAAAATTATGGAGAGGCAAGATGAACAGGCTTCACTTTGCGGTGAAAGGACTCTTTGGTGATGTAGAGGTGTCAAAATTCATAAAATAGACATCAGTTCAATCGATAACTGCTTGTTGTTTGAAATTAAAATGGTGTACCTTGATCCTTCGTCATGTCTTCTTGGTCCTGGCTAGCTTAAGAATCCAATTGCTACCTGTGTACAACTGTTCTGTTATCGTTACTAACAATATCCGGCAAAAGTGGGTCACAAGGACTTAGTAAAAACTGAATGCTTAGTAAAATGGATAGAATTTTAGTTTATATCTTTAAATATCGTAATTAGTGGTTATAATACGTTCTCCAGTATACTCTATCTTGTGGTACACTTTCGAATATTTATAAATTGCAGTTGTTTTATACATTGTTTAGCTATCAATGTGTATATAATATATTTTAATAGAAATGGCTTTGTTTGTTACGGGGTAGCGGTTTAGTGTGAAAAAATATATTTAAAGCTGATGCCTTAAAAATGTTAATAAATAGTAAACAATAATAAAATAACAATATGTACTCTGGTTACCATACACGTGTTCATTGATTATCAAAAGACGATAAAATTTAGGACGGGAATAAATATTTATTCTAAATTAAGCTTCTAATAGCAATTTTACTTAATTATTTATAGGAATTTTTAATAAATGAAGAAGTTCATATAAAATATCTTTATTTATTATATTATATATTGTGATTTTAGCCTGAAAATTTTTCTTTATTGAGAGTGTACATAATACAAATTTATTGTAGTGCTACGTAAGTTTTGAAGTTCAGTCGCATTTAAAAAAAAAAACGATCATCATTCTGTTATTTAAAATATGCAATAAATAATATTTTGTAGTTATATATAAACGCAATGATTAAAAAATATTTGTTTTTTTTTATATAAAAAACTTTGATTAATTCTCCGGTGGTATCATTTACGATTTGTTATAGTAAAAATATATATAATATAATATAATATTGCTATAATAATTATCCATCTTTCATTACTAAAAACTTTGTCAAGAAATATATTTTTTCAATATATTCGAAATTATTGCACGACAACTAATTGTTTCAGGGCTCACAAAGGCTTGTCTTTTCAATATTGTTCAGGACAGTATGCTCTGCTAACACGAAATGAGGTCACTTCTTATTAATCCATATGCTTGTTTAAGGGATATATTAAATGAAAAACTCATTTGCTACATATTTCGGGACTATTTCATAAGCAGACATTTAGTATTTTTATCAATAATATTGTTTTATGATGAAAAAAACAGAAATGAATACTT